TTCATTCTCAAGTGATGACTCCACTCTGCTTTCTCACTTCTAACCCCAAAACAAGAACTGGTTTTGTCCTCACTGTTAATTCCAGGGCCACCTTCATCAGAGTCAAAATGTTTCAGTTCTGAAGGTTTAGCTCTGCCAAAAGCACAAGCAGAATCATCAATATTTGTCCATGCATTACCAAGACTTGTGGAAGTTTTCAACATTAAATACCCTTAACTGGAAAGGTTGCACAAGAACTTCACTAAATGGACTGACACTGTTGCCAGCATCAACAGAATGAGCTATTTACCAGTCAAATATCGATGGCTGAACTGATTCTGTGTACAAAAGATGAAAATCAAAGGGTTCCCTCAGGGCTTTTTGTTTTTTTTCCATGCCAAAGCAATTATAAAGACGGATATTTTGTGTCTGACCACAGTTTGGAAACGCATTGAAATGTAGAAAAAATGTTGTAGGACAAAAGTAGATGTAGTTGAGTTGAATAATGAGGATCAGAGTTTCATAAGAAAGCAATTTTCCTGCCAGGTATGACCCAAAAATCAGGAAAAGAGGATCCCAAAGCTTAGCTTATAACTGAACTGCACACAGCTGCTCCCTCTCTGCAGTCAGGCAAAATGACTATAACTAGGAATAAATATTTGCTCTGTATCACATGAATCTGGCTTATGGCTCTTTCGCTGACAATGTAAGAATAAGTGAGATTTTCCATTATTATTTGCTTGCAGTTTTACTTATCCATCATAAATTGGCTCCCGAGCCCATAAATCTCTTGCCTGATAATAATATTTTTCAGGAGATACTCTTCTGAGATCATATTTAGTGAGGTATTATCCACAAACACTGCAAAGTAGACAAAAATAAAACCCCAACAGGTATAATAATTGTCTGGGGGAAAATAGAACAGCGCTCAAGAAAGGCATTTATTTAGAGGCTACAGAATTCCTGATTTTTAACACTAAAATCGCAGCTGAAAATTAACAGAGCCTTGAAACTGATTTTAAGTCCAATTTCCTTGGCTTTCCTTCCTGTGTCCATTAAAAATGAATGGAAGGACATGAGGAACGTGAGGGAAGGTGAAGGAAGAATTATGGAGGAAGAATTATAAAAGTGGGTTTGTTTCAGAGGCACTTACGTCACAAATGAAGAATTTTCTTTTTCTCTGCGATATTTCTAACCTGGAAAAACTTGAGGCATGCCAAAGGAGGGCCAGATAAAGGGGGGAAAAAAAATCCCTGAGGTTTGAGATTTATCTTGCAGAGAACTTACTCAACCAAGAAGCCAGAGGAATAAAATCCCAGTCCTTTGCCCTTGGTACTGATTGGGCTCACTTTGAATCTCCTGCATTCCTCAGGATTCCTGTGAATTCCAGCCCAGTCCTGGCTTTATAAAATGCCACTGTTAACCCTGACAGCAGCAGAGAAAAGCTTGGGAACGTGACCCGAGTGAATCCCAAAGCGCTCAGGATCTGATGAGGAATAAAAGAGCCCGGCATGTTTATTGGATCCCATCACTCTCCAACATTTGGGCTCAGCAATATCACAACCATAAAAACGGCACTTACAGGGCTTGTGGAAAGAGGAGGGAGATTATTTTATGGGAAGGTGAGGACCTTTCCTTGCTCAGGTCCCTCTCAGCCACCTCCTCACACCTCCAGTGGGAGTCAAACACAGGGACAGATTTCAGAGTGCCCAAAACCATGGAATTCTCTGCCCAGTGCACATCCCTGCCAGCGTGAAGGACCTCCCTGATGGCTATGACAGACTCAAGACTCTTGTGCTGGTCTGGGGATCATTCCTTGCCTGGGCAGTTTCATCTTTTCCTTCCCTTCAAGCTCTTTGCAAAGCACGGTTTTCACCCTGCTGAGTGGGACTTGGAGCGTCAGACTCCTCATTTAAAATGCCACCTCCTTTCCCCCACCATTCACCAACTCACATTCCACAGCAACCCTGCTGACCAAGGACTGTGTTTTATTTATTTTCCCACAGCAGCCCGTGGGGAGAGACTGTTCCTTTCTGCCCAGGGCTGTGCCCACCAAAGGCTCGAGGAGCTCCCACGCACCCAGAGGAGCTCCCGGAGCTGCGGATGCTCCTCCAAACCCTCCACTCACACGTTACGAGTCGTGGAGTCACCGCAAGGCTGCTTTACATTCTGGGAGCGTCTCCACTCCGAGAAGTGCCTGCTGATCTCAGAGGAGTTCTGAGAGCCATCATTATCGCAGTTGTCTGAGGGTGTGTGTCTCAGGAGCTCTGCAGCCTCTGTGGCACCATTTCCTGGCTAACAGCACCACCTACCTCTAACAACCCAGCACGCTGTTCCCTTCCACTCACTGCTGCTTTCTACAAACCTGTCAGTGCTTATGTTGCTGCAGGGTCCCTGCTGGGTGCAAACCAAGTTCTGGAAACCTAGAGCCGAGTTTTTCAGTTCTTGTAGCTCACAAAGTGCCCCAAAAATGGCCAGCACGGTGTGGACCTCTGAGTCTTTACTGGGGAAACTGGCACTGCAAAACCCCCAGGTGGGAAACCAGGACAAGCACTGAGGAGTAAAGATGAGCCCTGGTTACCTTTCTTTGTGTCACAGAATAATAGAACTGGGAAAGGGACCTTCCAAAGGTTCTAGAATCCAACCCCCTGCAAGGAGCAGGGACATCTTCAACTCGCTCAAGCTGCTCAGGGAATGGAAGAGATGTGGCCCTTTTGAAGAAGGGAAGCAAATTTTGAGCACTGAACTGAAAAACCCTGCATTTATCCTCCTGTTAATTTGCACTGAAATCTTGGTTGCTCAAACAGAAGTGCTTTGTGAGTGGATTTGGAGTCTGCCCCAGTAGGAGTACAGGAAGATGTTTGTGTCAGGAGACACAAATATGTAACTTGTTAATTCGTTGGACTAATCTGATTTATAGGATTCATTTGTTAGTGAATTAGTAGGATTTTCCTTTCAGAATATCTCTGTCTGCAACAATGAGCAAGGGACATTCCTTGTGGGAAACTACTCCATTGATCTTTAGGATGGAGATGTCCCAAAAAAACCAGTTGCAAAACAGCTGCAGTGCAATAACCACAGGGCTAAAAACTCAGCAGAACCTGTGGGTGGGATTGATGGCTGGATTAAGATTCCCTGGGACTGTAGCTGAGGTGTCAGTGTGTGCTGCAGCCTGAGGTGGCCACATGGCCCAGGCCCCCAAAAACACGCAGATGGGACCCAAAAACACGCAGATGAGACCCTCAGTTCCATCAGACCTCCCCCTGTGGGACATGGGAACCAGCACAGACAATAATTGCTTGATGTGATTAGCTGGAAAATGCTACAGAACACCCACAGGGAGTGCTGAAAAGAACTCCTGCAGACATGGGATATCCATAGTATCTTCAGATCATATGATGTTTAAACATTCATTGTACAAAACCCTGCTGTTATATTGTGTAATCATGTGCTTGCACTTGGCAGGGTTGGAAGGACAAGAGTTCTGGGGTTTGCCTTCTTATTGCCTTTTCTTAATGGTGGAGATCCTGGAAGAATCCCCAGCTCCTTTGGTTCCCTCCATCTCTTCAAAGATCAAGAGGAAAACCCAGGAAAGCAGCATGAACAGACATTCCCAGTGTCCTGCTGGAAATCACTGACACCAGGGAACTTTGGCTCAGCAAAACGGAAAGGTGGGAAAGCCTGAACAAAAGCACTTGTGAGTGCCTTTAGTGAGGCTGAACTGCTGCCCAAAATTCAGTGCAGTGTCAGTAAATAAATAAACACATGAAAGCTGAACTCTGACTGTCAATCTCATTAACAGTCCTTTATTCCTACCCATGGCTTAGAAACCCGATCCATGAGCTATGACAGAAAATACAGTCCTGTCCCTCCCCTCTCTTTGCTTTTCAGATATTACTGCACTTCTCAGCCTGCAAAAAGGGTAAATGGCAAATGGACAGAACCAGAATCTCTTCGTGTTGCCACCCATTTTCACAGGAGTGAGAGACCCAGAGTCCCATCAGAACTCTGAACTGTCTTCTCCAAGTTATCCCCAGAACCAGAAAGAGGCCTTTTAATCTCAAAATTGGGTCATACTCAACCTTTCTTAAACTACAGACAGTACAAATGGCAGAGAAAGCAACTAAAAGGGCTGATAGAAAACTGTCCCCTCTTCCTGCAGGATGAAACCTTCCCTTCAGGGTGTCCATCAGCCCTGTGGCTCAGAATCCCACAAACCTGGGTGCACCAACCCTGAAGAATCCTTCTGATCACCCAGGAAAATCTTTTGTACCTTCTTTCCTCAAGCCTGGCTTTGCATCTGCTCCTGAGCCTTTTCTGGAAAGCACAGGGATTTAAGTGCCTGAATGTTCTTATTTTTAAAGAATATTCTTTTAAAAATATATTTAAAAAAAAATAAAATCTTAGGGCCATTTCTTGAAAATCAGATTCTGAAGCATCCATCAGCCTGAGGATTTAAATGGCCATAAATTAGAGGATTATAGCAGGATGAAGCCCAGTGATGTGTGAATGCCTTTAGAACAGTGGTCCTTGCTGTGTGAGCAGGAGCTCTCAGCCCCCATCTGGCAGCACAGGCACATCAAATCTCACCCAGGCATTTTTAGAAGGCTCACGTTGCTGTCGTGCTTGGTGACAGCAAGAACCCAAAGTGCCCTGTGTGGTTGCCTGGAAGAATCTCTTGGCCCCTTTTCTGCATCGTGATTATTGCACATCGTAGGGAAACCTGATTAAATATTTTATACCCCAGTCCATTTAGTCTGAATGCTTTGACTGCTCAAAATGAGCAAGGAGGGCTTGCCTGCAGGAGGGAGCAGAGCCTGACTTACATTCTCCCACCTCCACTCCCACCCTGAGTTTTCCTTCAGAACCAACACAGCCTTCTTTAAATTAGTGCTGTCCCTCCCCCGTTGCTGTGGCCTTGGACTTCAGGTAATTCCCTGATTCCCAGCCCCAGGAGAGAGGTTCCAGTGCTGGCCTGTTATGGGAGGAGACTGCAGGAGGGGAAAACCTTCTGCACCCACCTGTTGTCTCCTCAGATGGAGAAATCAGGGCGAGAAAGGCTGAGTCTCCTTCCTCCAGCTGCTCCTTTCTGTGGCACTGGAGCACATATTTCTGTTCCAGGCTTCCATGTTCTCCTTAATCACAACGAACATGGAATCATTAAGCTTGGAAAAACCCCTCTAAGATCATCAAGCCCAACCACTAACCCAGCACCACCCTGTTAACCACTAAACCCTGTCCCCAAGGGCCACATCCACGTGTTCATTGAACACTTCCAGGGATGAAGTGGGGACTTCATCCTGTTCCCACTGAGCTCCCTGAAGAACTCCCACCTGGGAGCATTGTTTCCCTGTGTATGAGACTCCTCTCACCTCAAAAAAAATTTAAAAATTAAACTAAACAATTTAAACATTTACCTGAAGGTAAAGGTGTTCATAATTTAAGGTGCTCCTGCACTGTAGGGAGAGAAGCCATCTATCTGTTCTTGCACCTGCCAGAGCATATTGGAGACATCTTAAAGTGGCAAAGCATTTACTGTAACAAACCACAGGCAGCATTCCCAGTGAAAAATAGGGAGAAGGAGGAAGCTGCCAAGCAGGAAAAGCTTGGGAAGAGGCTGCACTGCTTGGGGAGTTATTTATTTAAATTCTAAGCCACAGAGAGACAGCTGGGAGGTGGGGAGAGCAGCACTTACCGATTCAGTGGTGAAGCAGTGGCAGTGGGACGTGGCAGGGAAGGGAGATGCCACCTTTCCCCCAGGATCCCTGAAATACAGCTCTTTCTTCCCCTGAAAAAAAAAGATTGTGTTAAAGCCTGCTTTAAAATAATGACAGCTGTTACACAAATCAGCAGCCTTGGTTTCTTAGCAAAATGCCAGAGCCTGCTCTAACAGCACAAAATAAAAGCTAAAAAAATTAGAAGATGTAACACAGAAGGTGTAAACCTCCAGCAACATGGGGAAAAAAAGTCAACCTGATTTTCTGCTGTTATTAAGGCACTGGGAGAGGTACAGCAGCAGGTTTAATATCATAGATATGAGTACTATGGATATTTTCCCTTACAACACTCCAGAGCTGGACAGGCAAGAGCAATTTCCATTCACCTTATCCTTGTAAGGTATTTCAGCCTGGTGTCTGTAACAGGTTAGGAAAATGCTGACAGCTGTAGACAGAACCTTCCAGAGCCTCAGAAAAGCAACAGAATCTTTTCACAGGGAGAAGGAGACAAACTGCATGGATTTTTTTGGCAGAGTTCCCCAGCCTGAAGAATTCTCAGCCAGCTACCCTGCCACGGTGCTCTTCCCTCTGCAGGCTGCCCTCACTGGCAAGTCTGGGCAGTTTTAGCACTGAAAAATGAGGATTTATAAAAAGTAAAGTCTTGTGGGGTCCTGAGAGGACTGACATTGAGAAATGCCTGTGGTGTGAGGTCACAGAATCCCAGAATCCCAGGAGAGTTTGGCTTGGAAGGACCTTAAAGCCCATCTCATTCACCCCCTACCCTGGGCACTGACACCTTCAACTGGCCCAGGATGCTCCAAGCCCCATCCAACCTGGCCTTGTCCCCATTGTCCTGCCACTCCTGGCCCTTCTAAAACATCCTCTCCAGCTTTCCTGGAGTCTGTTTCCTCTCATCCTGTCTCGTGGCATCACTTGTGGTGCCCTTTCCACCAGCAGTGCCTGCACAGGGCACCAGAGAGGCACCACCACCCCAGGGGAGATGCACACAGAGCAGAGCTTTCTCCTCCAGCCTCTCAAATCACCTTTTCTGCTGAAGGAATAAAAACTCCAAAAGGGAAAAGGAGCACCTCAGCCAACATTACTGTGCTCCTAAGGCAAAATCCTCAAAAATCAGCCCCTTCCCAACACATCCACACCGCTCCCTACCTGGCCCAAAGCTCCTCTCCCACGCAGGTTTTAATTATCCCACACAAGCTTCTCCCCCAGGAAAGTGGGCTTTGGCACCCACCATGCCTCATCTGCAAGGTTTTAGCTCGAAGGTTTTCATGTCCTATCTCCAAGTTACAAGATTTTTAGCAGCAATGACAGCAGTTGCAATAAATAAATTCAGAATAACCATTCTTACCTGTTACAAGCATTCCAGTGAAAAACCAGCTGCTGATGGGTTCTTTTGTGCCCTATTTCCTAAAATCCAAGAGTATAAGTTTCCATTATAAGAGGGGGAAAGAAGAAAAAAAGAAACAAGGAAAAATAATAATTTTATTCCCTTAAATTCGTACAAAACTCTACCCAAAACAGCTGCCCTGTAACAGAGAGGAGTTTTACTTTACCTCCCAAGTGTAGAGGGAGCCCTCAGTTTACTTCACAAAATGCTGTATTCTGTCTTGAACCACTTACCACTGGGAGGTGTTAAAGGAAAATACCCTTCCCCCTAAAAATTCTAGGAGTACCCTTGGGCTGGAGCTCACAGAAGTTACCTGGTGTGACAGGGAGAAAACCTGGAGGCACAGCATCCACTCCCCCTAAACTGGCAGGGTGAGCTGGGACCCTGGAGCTCTCTTCTTATTTGGGTTTCTTTGCATTTGCAAGGCTTGATGCAAACATCGTGGAAAAAAAATATGAAAACTACATTCATACATAAATATTAATTAAAAGTTGGGTTGTTAGAGGTTGTCTATTCTCCCTTATTCTCACTGCTAGGATACTAAAACACAGTTGGGGCTGTCCACAAGTGAGGGTGACAATTCTCTTACTCCTAAAACTCCAAAGGAAAAATCTTGTGTTAATTCTTAAGTTTGTTTTTTTCTTTTAACATGCAAATGCATCCAAAATATTGATAATTCGTGGGAGAAGAAAGTGAAAAACTGTGGCAAACACAGTGTTTTCCAACCTAAGTGATTTATTCTGCGATTCTGTGGTGTTTTGTTACTTAGGACATTATTGGAGATGGAAATTGTTTGTTATCACTGAGCAGGTGCAGGGCAATTCTCTCCCCACTCACATCTGATGGCTTGAAAGTGCTGTGGCTGCTGACAGAGAGCTGCCACTGGAAAGCTGCCTGGATTTCCCTTGACAAAGGCAGCTGCAAGTTCAGTCCCCATCCTCAGGGATCGACACTGGCACCGATATTGCTCAGTGAGTTCATTAAAGGGCCTGGCTGATGGCGTGGAGTGCACTCACACCCAATTCACACACGACCCACGCCTGGGCAGAGCTGCTAAAACCCTTGCTCAGATCTCTTTATGCTTTGTTCCTAGGTGTCTTTTTTTAAAAATCCGACTTTATGGAGCTAATTTTATAAAATCTACAAGGATGACATTAAGGTGAAGCTGATCCTTTTAGAAACAATTCCTCCTAATCTTCTGAATAATCTTCCTTTATGACCACAGTAATAACCCATCCAATGCTTCTCCAGCTGCAAAGCTTACCTAGGAAATTTCTGCCTCAGCTTTTTAACTGAAGGAGTAGGTTTGGGTATTAACTCAAACCCAAATGATTTCCCAGCTGAAGTGGGTGAATGAATTCCCATGAGTTTTCAATATTTTGGATACATTTGCACATTGTGATTAAAAACAAACAAACAAACAAAAAAAACCAAACAAACAAAAAACCCAATCAAACTTAAGAATTAACATGAGATTTTTCCTTTGGCATTTTAAGAGTCAGAGAATTGTCACTCTCACTTGTGGACAGCCCCAGCTCTGTTTTAATATCCAGCAGTGTGAATAAGGGAGAATAGGCAAACGGTGAGATTTGTACTTACAAGTAAATTACATTATAGATGAAAAGTTTTTTCTTTGCTCAAAATCGTGCTAAAATTGAGTTTAAAAATTGGATTCTCAATTTAAGGTTCCCTTGTTTTTTCAAGACACTCAGAAACATAGTCTGTATTAGGAGTAGATATTTCCATTCTCTGACAGAACCAGAAGATTTTAATATGAAAATTAAAAAAACCAATGTGAGTTAAACTGGTTAAAAGTAGGCATGGTTAAATTAGCCCTGATTTAACACTCTGGCTTTGCACAGTCTTATCTAAAAGCCAGTCAAAATACATAATTATTAATATCTCAGCTTAATTTGGGCTCGTCAGGTGGCAGATTCCTGCAGAAGACACAAGTACCTGCTCAAAAGATAAAGACTCTGACCCCACAAGGGTGACTCTCCAAATTCCACCCAGCTCTCACTATCAGTGCTCTCCATGTCCCTCTCCCTTCAAAGCTGAGAATACCAATCAGCTCCAATGGTTTGGAAGAATTTGTCAGCCTGTTTGGTAAAACCACCTTCGAGCCACAAAAAGGCTGTGACGAAGTTTTCTAATTAAACACTTTCATTAAGCAGCAGAACACACCTTTGTAAATCCCAGCTCGGGGCTGGCCCTCCTCCCACTGAACTCCAGAGGAGCAGGATCCCTGTATTTACATTGCCCCCTGTTTGGGAGACTGTAGGAATCAATAAGCAAAAGTTATTCTAAGTCTCAAAAAACCATGCATTCTCTTTGGGATTCTCTGGGCAAATTACTTATTGATTTTCCTCGGCACATGCTGCCGATTTCCACAGGTCTGGGATTGTTTGGGGTTTCTTCTGGCATTATGTCACGTAGTCATAAAAATTCTGCTCTGATATGATGGATATCACCCAGATTTCTGGTGTGCTGGAGCTGCTGTGAACAGAACACCAAGGTGATAAGTTAGTGGCATTCCAAGGCACGTGACAATCACTTGAGAAGAGCCCATGGAGACACAAACCTCACATCCAGGGAAGAGCTGACAGCACTGACTGTGCAGAGCCTGGAGCAGACACCTCAGGAAATCTGGGCTTTGCATTCCTGGACATCTTTTAGACCTCCTTCTTTAATAAAAGAATTGTCTTCTACCTTTCCTTTGTAAAGCTGCTCTCAAAGTGAAAACTGAATCAATTTACAGGACAAAACACCCAGGGCAGCTTCCCAAATCCCTTCTCTGTCCTCCCCATCCTTGCAGGCACAAGACAAGCAGAAGGAAACACACGTGGAGGTTGGTCAAGAGTTTTGTTGTCCAAGCCAAGTACAAAGAGAGGGCTGCAATCTGTTTGTACAATCACAGAATACTCTGAGTTGGAAGGGACCCACAAGGATCATGGCCTGGCACAGGACACCCCAACAATCCCCCCTGTCCCTCAGAGCGTTGTCCAAACCCTCCTGGAGCTCTGGCAGCCTTGGGGCTGTGCCCACTGCCCTGGGGAGCCTGGGCAGTGCCAACCACCCTCTGGGGGAAGAACCTTTCCTGAGATCCAACCTGAGCCTGCCCTGGCACAGCTCCAGCCATTCCCTGGGGCTCACTACACCATCATCCCCCTGCACCATCATCCCACTGCACCATCATCCCCCTGCACCATCAGCACCATCTCTGGGTGAACCTCGAGCCAGAACCGCTGGAACGCCACAACAGAGAAGTGTCCACATCCTGATCTCGACCAAAGCTGAAAGGATTTGAAACCCCCCCACTTTTGAGAAAGTTGACCCCTACCAAAATGTCCTGCTCATTTTTGCAGAGGTGAAAGGCCAGAATCCCTGTGGTGTGAGCCAGGAAAGCCCCAAGGCTTCCCCCGAGGATGCAGGTCCTGGGCAATTCCCCATCCACCCCTTCAGGAGCAAACCCCTGGAGCCCTCAGGCCCTCCCTTTCAGTCCCCTCTGCCTGTCCCTGACACATCTGCAGAGCTGTCTGGGGGAAGTGTCACCCAAACTGACAGACTGTCAGCCTGCATTCCAAAGACGTGTCTCACAAGTCTCCATCCAGCCCTTTGACAAGCCCAAGGAAAGCCCTTGGAAAGGCTGTCATCGGGGAACTGTACATGGAATAACTCAGTGAGGATGAGAATCACAATCCAGGAGCCTTGAACACTCTAATTAACCTTCCAGGAGAGAGTCCCCTTTCCTCTGTGTTGTTAAAATGAATGGGAACAGCGCACAGGTCAATGGCAATGTCCCCACTAGGCAGGAAAATCTCTGTGGCTGGGAAAGAATTTTAAGTACTTGCAATGGAGTGGATGTAGCAGTTTGCAAAAAAATCATGTGCCAGTGAGAGCAGGATCCATTTTATCAGTGTTAGAGCTTTCCCCCCACACACACCCTCTTCCAAGTTATGCAAAACACTTATTTTCATTTTCCATAATTCTTTCATGAGGAAAATCCAGCAAGTTTTTGCCAGCAAGGATATTTGGCCACGTTAAAGGACATTTTTTTCACCTTCCTCATCTAAGAGGACAGGAAAAAAAAAAGACTTTTTTTTCCATAATAACAACCCTCCAGCAACTGCCTGTCCACTCTCTGCAGATTTCCTCATCTAGAGAGACCTGTCACGTAAGGAGAGTTAATGCATCAGACAGAGACAAGCTGCAGCGACCCACACACTCACACATATAAATAATATAGAATATGAGATGTTTGTGTGAGCACAGAGATTCCTGGAGGGCACTTTAATATTTTGTTTGCATCCAAAAGTAAATCCAGTTCCTTAAACAGCTGCCTCCCGGTCCCCAGCTGTCCGTAAATATAAACAGAAAGTGACATTTGCTTCCAAACAGCCAGTAAATTATATATCTAGAACAGAAATCCAGCCACTCTGCTCCGGTTTGGGCTGGAAGGGACCTCAAAGCCCATCCTGTTCCAGCCCCTGCCATGGGCAGGGACACTTTCCACCAGCCCAGGCTGCTCAGAGCCTCACACACCTGAACATTGGGGTTTTTTTCCAGCTACAGCAACTCCTATATATATAAAAAAAGAGATATAAAGTTTGCCTGTCCTTACTTTGAAGATATTAAAACAAACTCATTTCGAGTGGGCTGACTTGTCAAACTATCTAGATCGTTCCCAAGCCTCCTCATTATTTACCACTTCATCAGCCCTCTGTCATCCCTGTGCTTTATCTGTATTGAGTCTGCACTGCTACTAGATAAAAATATTCAATAGCTTCTGCCTACTCCTAATCCATGCAGACCTCAGTTTTGGGGAGAAAAAAATAAGAAAAAAAAAAAATCTCATGTTTTTTTCTGCAGCAACTTCAGCTGTGTCAGTCACTTTTCAATCCGGTTAACGTGAACTTCCCTGACAGGATATCGCTTGTTCTTTTACAGAATGTCAAGCAGACTTGGTTAAATGCCTTAAAAAAAGTCTACTGGACTAAGTATATCAAGCTCACCACTTCCTTT